TTTGGCAGAGAAGAGGGAGACATTTTTACATGCATTTGATCCTTCATCTGGACTCCTGCCTTCTGAGATCTAGATAAAGATCATTTAAAATAGCAGAAATATTTGAAAGTTCTAAAAGGAGCTACCGTTCACGTGCAGTAAAACTTTTGATAGCTCATGTGCTGAGGTATGTTGGGGCAACAGGGGACAGTAAGACTTCCACACTGAAACAGCCGTGGGGGCTCAGGCACCCAAATACAAAGTTCTCTCATCTGAAATGGAAGCACTCTGAACACTGAAAGCAGCGATGGGATAGCTCAGGTTGCAGGGCTGGGGCCAGGAAAGTCAATCATGGTACGATGTTAGGATGGATTCCACAGGACAACTGGAGCACTTCTTACAAGCATTGGACTGGCCCATAGGCAGTGATTCATAAAAAGCCTCTTCTCCCTCCCTCTTCATTCTCCTATCCTCACTCATCCTGTTTATGTGCTGTCTTCTCTTTAAACTTTATACCTCGATCTATAGTTTCCTTTTCAGAGGCCTCCTCACTTTTCCTGACCCAGTAGAGCCAGAGGTGGTCAACCTGCAATACACTAGTCACAAGTGGCATGGGCAGCCTCTCTGTAGGGCACGTGGCAGACTGGGGTGAGGAGAGGCAGCACAGTGGCAGATAAGGCAGAAGGCAAGGCAGCAGATCAGGCAGGTGAAGGGGATAAGCGTGGCACTCAGGGAGGGCATGGGGCTTGATTTGTGGCACTTCTGCTAATAAAGTTGGGCCCTACTGCAGCAGAGGATAATTTTAAAGAACCACAGTTTGTCACCCATTACTTACAGTGGCTCAGATTTCTGATCCCTTTGCATTAATGTTTTGTAATTCTCCTGCCTGGTCATGCCTATTAGTGGATGTGCTATCTTGATTGGAAAGAAAGAACTGTTTCTACCTGTTTTTTGCAAATGAACCATATATTAGCATGGTCAGTGCCTTCTTCCTAAAAACCCTCTTACTTAATGCTTAGTGAGTTTGGGGATGGACACGGCATAAATACCTAAGCTAGATACACATTTAAAAATGTTTACTGCCAATTTGCACAAATAGCAGAGCAATGAAGTGACTGAAGAGCACTGTCAAACTGAATTTTTCTGTAGTCTTATTCTCTAGTTTCTGTATCTTGGATTTAACAACCTGAGAGTATCCCATTTCCTTGCTACAGGCAACAATTTTATAATTAAATGCATTTGTTCTTTATGACTATACAGTTATAAACTATTTTTCTTATAAGGGTCTGTACAAAAAAAAAGAAGCAGCAACAAGTTTAGCACCAACACACAGAAGGCACATCATACTTGCTTGTAAGCAGAAACACTGAATTAGCTTTAATGGCATTGGGTGAGGAGTTTCATAACATTAGGCCTCAAACAGCATATGATTTGGAACCACCAGAGTATGATGAAGCGTAAGGAAATTCAAGTTTTCTAGGGAGCCAGTATTATGACAAAGATCAAAAGCGTTTGAACAACCTGCACCATAGCTAATCTCTCGGTAGCATTCTGGATCACATAAGAATTTTTAAGAAGCACATTCTGGGTGGCTAATCTGTAAGGATTAATGTCAAAGTAAAACCAAGAGGGAATACACAAAGAGAAAAAGCAAAAACCATAAAGGTTGTTTAATCTTCTGATATAGCTGTCCAATTCTGAATGGCTGGGCTCCACAGGCCCCCTGGCCACTCACTGCATGGGCTGCACACCATGTTGTACTCACTGTGTGGATCACAGCAAGGGCCTCCCCTCCCCACCACCTGCACTGTGCCAGGGGCCCTGTCCCCCACACTGTGTGCTCTCCCCCTGCCACGTGGGGCAGGTGTTCCTCTTGCTGTACCATGCCAGCACTCCCATGCCACACAGAGTACCTAGGGTCCCTGGAGTCCTCCAGCCACAGGCACCCCCGGCCAGGCTGTGCTGCCCAGACTTTGGGGTGGGGCAACTGAAAACTACAAGAAGGATGGGGAGCACAGGGGCCACAGCTTGACCTCTTAAAAGCCACATGCAGCCCATGGTTGGATCTAATTCCAACCTGCGTTAAAGGCTTATTTAGGTCCCTAACAAAGCCCACATGCCTACAGAGATGGCCCTTGGCTACAGAGATAAGAAGTTATGTCATTTTTCCAATTAAGAGAATGTCAGTTTTGCTTAGGCTTCAGACCTGGTCACTGCCTCTAAAATGCATGTCACTGTTGTCAACTGTAACATTAATTTTAAATATAAATAAAACATTTGAACAGGGCAAGATACAATGTTAACACTTGTACATTTGTTGGGAGCTGCAGAGATTTCTTTAGATGCATTCTCTGCTTTCTGGTATTAATCTAAAATACTTAATTCCAGGTAAATTTCTACCAAATTTAAACTTCCTTAGGCCCAGTCATCTAAAAAAAAAAATTTTGGATGCTAAACAGCTCATCTAAAACAACCTTGGCAGGTAAACATTCCCAGATGGAAATAAAGAAGGGAAATAGTCAAAGCAAGGTTAATTGTGGCATTGGACATGCATTACACTTGTGGCAGTACTAGCATGCTGTAAGAGCTACAACAAGCAAGTGCCCATGCATGCAAGTCATCTGTAGCACTGCAAAAAGTGGCAGATTTGTCGCAAAAGTTTTCCTCTTCCAAAGAGGATCTTCTCTGTGGTGCTGTGTTCTAGACAGTGGATGTCTGGACATGTAGCATTACAGGGAGGTCTTTTGGACCCTCGGTGCCCTACAGTCCTCTGCTCTGCCCTCCCCACCCCTCCTCCAAGGGGAGGATGGGAGATCGGCTGCCTCCCTGATAGCTCGCACAGTTGTGGCAAGCTGTTACAAAGCCCTGCTGTGCTCCTATGGGGTCGGTCCCTGGAGAAACTGCTGCCTCAACCACCAATGCCCAAGGACACCAGCTTGTGCTGATCCTCCTGCTACACTGGCTGTCCCTGAGAAAGCTGTTCCCTCCACCTCCCTCTTCACCACCTATGGTGGGGAGGGGACAGGCTGCCAGTGACACAGCTCACTGACAGGGTCCCCTGGGGTCTTGTGGGTAGGGCACATGAGCCAACTGGGGGATAGGGCAAAAAAGACCCTATCAGCCACTGGCTGAGCAGTGTGCCTCTGAGGCAAATTAGCAGTGCTTGATTCAGGGGGCAGTCCCCCATAGTGCTTTATTTCTGTAGTACTATGAAGTGCCTCAGTGATACCAGCATGTATCAAAAGCTCAAGTTACACCAAATCCAACTATCAGTCAGAAGCAGAGTCAGAAACAGCATCTGTATCTTCTAAGTTCGGCCCTGTGCCTAAAAAACTAGACCAAGCTCCCTCCCTTGTGTGGACATTCCCTGGCAACGCACCCCAGAGTGCAGAAGGCATATGCACTCCAGGAGAGCGATGCAATGATTTCCTCTTACAAAACATAATGCAAGCCTCCAGAACCACAGACTGGCTTCATCAGAGAAACCCTTGAGGAACAAGTTTCCACATAAGTGACAATGGCAAATCTCTGCACTTCTCTGTGCATCTGTTTCCACTTCTGCTTTTTCCTCTGTCTATACTGGAAGAACTTCAAGGTACTGTCTCTCTAGCTACAGTTTGTTGCAAAACTTGTCCCAAATCCCAGTCAGCTTTTCCAGGTATCACTGTAACAAATCCAAATGAAACGTATGCAGGGGCGGAATTGGGGGAGAGGGGGACGCAGGCAGGCGAAGGTGCAGTTGTATCCCCTTCAATTCCTGTTCTACCCAAACTTTAAAACCACTGGCCTGGAAGTGGCAGCAGCATTTCTGTTCAGGCAGCAATGAATCAACTGACTTCATGGTTCATTATCATTTACCTGTTTTCTGCTAATGCCTCCTTGTAAATGTTAACAACCCCCTCTCCTTTTTAATGGTCTTGGTATCCCACTATCCAAACTTTCTCCTGTGATTTTGCTGTCTCTCAGCCATTCCTGGTAAAGTCTCTCTTTGATTTCACAGCCCTGCAGAGCTTTTAGCTCTAGCTAAAAACATTAATTTTAACTGTAATGATTACAGGACTAATGAAACACTATCTTTTTACTACTGTGACCATTTTTGGCCTAGGTTTTGTGATTTTTAAATTTAATATATAATCTAGCAAATTAGGGCATATTCCAATAACGTTATTATGTCTATTTTGCTTTGATCTTAAACTGAATAATGTAGCGCTAGGCCCCTGGCATATTGGTAAAGTTTCTAAATTATCTTTAACTGGCAAAATATGTGTCATTATATGCGCTGACGTATCACACCACCTGCACACCCCTTTTAAAAAATCCTAAATCCATGCATGGGCATGTGTCATTCAAAGTGATCTATGGTCTAAGCAAGAAATAAGAAATGTCTAAGGTTCCCAGAACAACAGGTTTAAATTGGAATAAGTTAAACTTAGCCACACATCCATTCAAAGGAGAAAGCTTGAATTCTATGTGGTTTACCATGTGGAGGCTTAGTGAGGATGCCTGAGGTCCTTTCTGAATGTCATACAGAGGAAGATGATTGTTTTGGTGCACTCAGACAATACTTCCCTTCCCTTCCCCTCCCCATCTCGACTTTGCCAGATGTTTTCCTGATTGTATCCTTTCCTAGAAAAGCTGCACTTTGATATTTAATTCATTTGGAAGCACAAGAAGTGCTCTGGATTCCTATAGTATGAAAGCTGCTTCATATTAATCCATAGACTTAGATAACAGAGAGATGAGTGACTAAAACACTCCAGCAATGAGAAGATACAACATGCCAGCCAAAAAATAAATTATTGGACCTCCTTACTTGTTAAATTAAGAAACACTAAAGTGGGTATCCTTCTAAATATGCATCATAACCCTCATGCTGCAATTTCTGAGTGGAAAAAAAGCCTATTTCTGATATACTCTTTGATTTGATGTCATGGGCACAAGAGAAAAAAATTACACCGAGGTGCTGAAATGAAGCAGCCTCTTCATGTCCTCTCTTGAAATATTAATAAAATAAAAGTTTGTTTAGTCATACTAGTTTATTTGTAGCATTCATCCATACTCAGAAACAATTACAAATTACAATGAAAGTTTATAATGGAAAATGTCATTATTTAATATAAGATATGGAGGTTTCATAATAGAAATGTACTTACCTACAGGACTGAATGCAATTTATATATATATTAGCTTATGTTTTTCTATTCACAAACACATATACAGAAAATGTAACTGTTTAGGAAAGAAGTTAATTTTGTTGTTTTTGGACACTTTGCTGCATTTGTGCTATCAGAGAAAATGCTGTTTCATTGCTTTAAACTGCAAAATAAGACTATGAATTTCTCAGAAGCAATTTAGAATGGATGCATCAGCAAAGACCACAATGCAGCAGAGATAAGAAGCCTCCTCAGCCAATATTCACGAACAACCAAGAAAACAAATACATGTTAGCAGAATGCAGAGATTCAGTTATAGCCATCAATTGTCATTTCTAATTCTACAAATCTTATTGTGAAGATTAGTAGCGTCTTGTGAAGCTCAGCTAGTAATAATTATATATTGTTTTAGTAAAAATGAAAAACAACAACTTTCGTTGTTTTATTACAGTCTGCAAAATTTACTGAAGTGCCTTTGAAAATCCTATTCTAAGGGTGTTAGGTATTTAAATGACACTTAAACTGAGAATGAGCTGGTACTCTTTAAAAAGTTTCAGTTTTAATGAATATTATTGACTTAGTTTCCATAAAAGAGTACTAAATAATCAGATTTACATCTTTTGGTCATTAACACAAAAAGTCCTCACTGCTGGAGCAAAGCACATGGAGGTTTTTAATGCATATACTGCAACACATAATGCTGAAAATTCTCTGCCAGGTATTAAGTACCTCCTGAAAACATCTGACAGTAAAAAAAAAAAAAAAAGTCCCAATCAAGCCCTCCCACAATACTGCAAATGAAATAAACATATTCATTTTTGTGAATACCACACTACCTGGCATAAAGCCATGTTTCACAAAGATAACACTACAGAAGTCCATATGTAGAACATGTTTAGATCACTTTTCATCTACCTTTACAAAGAAAATGCTTCCTTAAAGATATTTCAAATGAAAAGGTGCATTTTTTAAAGTCTAGTGATAAGAGATTTTCTTCCAAAAGCACTATGAATAGCTTCGCTTTACATGATTTATTTCCAAATAGATGCTAACAACTCCCAAACTAATCTGGAAAAGACATTATCATAAAAGGGATCCAAATATGTCAAAGAAAGTTAAGAGAGATTTTGTAATTTGAAATGCTTCTTATTTCTTTGAAATATAATTTCTATGTTATTCATAAAAACAGAAACATGAAAACACTGAGTGCGTTAGGAAACCATGCACCTACTGTATAGTGCTACATATATGTCAAATTATGTATTAGTGATTATGTATTAGTTCAATTTAATGTGGGTAGACTTTTTGAACAATATTTTTAGTTTAACTGAAAAAAACAGGAAAAGTCAACAGATTAAAAAAAAATTAAATTAAGATGATACGGTCCTGTATTTTTCAGACTCAGAGATTTGCTTTTCATTTATGAAGGGCCTTTTATAATCACTACAGAGATTACTATTGACTTCTTGCTTAAAAGTCAAAAACAGGTTAAGAGGTAGCTTGGGAATGTTTTAGCATTTTTGTGGTGTTAGCTTAAATGAATTCATTTTTCTAAAAGGGTTAACAGTACACAGAAAAGGCAAACAGTATATACAGCTGCCACTGCTTGCACTGAGAAGAGAATTATAAGAGGCTCACAAGAAAGATAAGACCTCAGAGAAAAAGAACCCACTGCATCTTTTACAGTGGTTTTAGTGGACCAGTTCAGGCTGATTTTCTACAAAAGGAAGTACCCCACTAACATAGTATGCAATTCCAAGAGACAGAAGGGCAATAACAATGATGAGGAGCAGCACTCTCCAGAAGCCCAGGTCCTCCACAAACTCTTGCCATGTTGTGCGGAAGCTGGAAAGAACCCCTTCACCTTGCTGCAGGTTCGGATTAAGGAGGGAGTGGCTTTCCATTGCGCTGTGAAGAATGAAAAGTATAGATATATCAAGTAAAAAAATACATCTTTAAGTAGGCTAGTAATCTTTTCAGCTCAACTAAAATATTCTAAATACAGAAGCAAACACACTTTCAGGTTTACAATACTGCCTCAGTGATCTAAAGGCAAGAAAAATAAGAAAAGGACTCCTTCCACTCTCCCACCTCAAAACCAAAACACAACAGTCAGCAAGCAAAGTCTTTGAAACCAACTTTCCAATAATCTTTGATATGCATAAACAGAGTGGTATTTGATCTGTACAAATGAAGGGTTTGTGTGGCTATGAATTTGTACAGATCAAATACAGCCTTTTGAAAATGTGTTCATGTGAGTCCTACTGCCTAAACCGTAACAAATTTAATGAAGCATAATTTAAGTATAGCTGTGTGTATCAATACAAACAGTGAATTGTCATTTAGAAGTAACCCCTTTCGATTATAAAAGAAAACTGTAGTCAATGCATTTTGGGTACTGAACGTTCTGAATTTTGCAAAAAGATGAATTTAATTTAACTGAACTACATAGTTACAAGGCCTCTTTCACAGCTACAACTTTCTAGGCACAAACATTTCAGAGAAAATATTTATCCTGACATAAAGTTTAGAAACTGAGATCTTCTCTTGGAACAGGAATGGGCAATTATTTCGGTTGGAAGGCTGCTTAACAACTTTAGTGAGCTGTCAAGGGCCGCAAGGGTAGCCCTGCCCCTTGACAAGAGCCCCATCCCCTGACCACCACTTTGGGACTGGAAGTGCCACCTCAACCCCTGACCTTTGCCACTGGACTTCTGCCTCCTGGGGGGTGGGAGGGAGAGGGGAACTGCCGTCTTGGAACCAGAAAAAACCCAAATCATACACTAAAATCAAACATCTGCGACAACACATTTTATTTCAAAAACTTTTTTTGTCCTGATTTGTGTGTGTTTAAATAGTGTATATAGAGGTGATTGTATAATAGTTCAAAATAAAGTCTTACTCTTGTATATTGAGTGTGCGGGCTGTGGTTGGGGTGGTGTGTGTGTGTATGGGGCTTGTGGGGGTGTGTGGAGTTTGTGGAGGGGTAGGTATGTGGTGTGTGTGTGGGGTGGTGGGATTTGTGAAGGGTCTGTGGGCAGGATGTGGGTGGGGGCCCTGCCACATGCCCCCCCGCCCCCAGCAGCAGGAGGTGGGCCCTCAGGGTGCTCATGGCACTGGCGCGTGCCTTCAAACCAGACTGAGCTAGCTCCACACTAGCATGTGGGGCTCCCGGCACTGGAGGTGAAAGCCACGTGCCATCACCTGGGTTGGGGTGGCTCTATGCCTCCACATGGGGCTTCCAGCACTCCAGTGGGGAACCACAAGTGGTGGCTCAGATGCAGCCCGGTCTCATGGCACATAAATATGGAGCCATAGGGAGTCATGTCCCATTGGGCTGGGCTGGCTCCGTGCCACCACGTGTGGCTCCCTGCTGGAGTACTAAAACCTCACATGGAGGCACAGAGCCAGCCTGGCCTGTTGACACATGGCTCCCACCTACAGTGCCAGGAGCCCCACATACTGGTATGGAGCCAGCCTGGTCTGGCCTGGAGGCACACGGCACTGGGCTGGATCAGGCGTTGCTCCTGGGACACAGGTGGAGCTGCGCACCACTGGGAGCTCTGCCTGCCACGGGCCATGAGCACCCTTAGGGCCTGCCTGCTGCTGCTGCTGGCAGCAAGGGCGGTATGCCATGGGGGGCGGGGAATGTGGGAGGGGGGAAATGTGGTGGGGGCCCCACATCCACCCACAACCCTACCCCCACCTCCTGTAGGCAGGAGCTCCCCGCCCCACTCACATGCCATCGTGCTCAGTTCCTCCACATGGGCCTCCTAGCTGGAGTGCAGGAGCCCCACAGAGGTTGAGGCACAGAGCCTGCCAGGTCCGATGGTGCATAATCTCTGAAAGCCCTCCTCTGGCTGCCTTTCAGAGGTGCAGCCATGGGCCAATAATAATTTTTGTTTGGAGGGGCCCTGCAGGCCAGACAAAATGACCTGGTGGGCCAGATCAGGCCTGTGGGCTGTAGTTTGCCCACCTCTGTTTTGGAAACAGTTAACATTGCTATGCTGTGCTACAAGAATACAAAGCATACCACTGAAACGTAAGCATGTCACCAGCAATCTGGGAGCTGCTCCATCCTATGAATTTCTCTTGTCAGAACTATAAATTTGGGACCTGAAAAATCTAGTTATCATTTAATATAGAAATTATTAAAAGGGAAACAATCAGCTTAAAATCAAGTCAGTCTGAAGAAGTTAATTACAAGTAATTTCAGATGCTATTTTCCCTTGTGTTCCTCTGCCACTTCTTGTGGTTTTATAAGTGTAATAAAAGTTAGAAACATGTTCGTCTTTGGTCTATGGCTATATGAAAGAATCATGTAAACAACAGGAGAATTGACTCATGGCCTGACACCAAATTCCTAGACATGTGCGCATCCCGACCAATTTGAAAACTTCCACAACTTCTCACATGAGCAATATTACATACATGTATGCTTGCAGGATCAGGGATCAGATTGCACACAGAGGGGAAAGCAATGAAACTGACCATGCACCTAAGTCATGTCAGGGCACAAAGCAAACAGAGGGGGAACAGAATTTCTCCCAATCTTTTTCAGTTACAATAATCTTAGGTGTTTCTTGTAATAATGTGAAAAAAATGTTTCAGAAAAAGCATAATTTGCAAGTTAACATGATCCATTTAGACCTTTTGATGTGAATAAATCAAACAGGAATGTGTCACTAGCAGAAAGATTAATCTGTAAACCCTTGTCCAAAATTAAACCTCTGATCACCGTAGTATTATTCATGTGGCATTTTACTTATCATGAAGTACAACTACTGAATCATAATTACGTTAAGTTCCACTAGTCTACTGAAGTATTACAGTGCGTCAGAAAATTTCAGATATTTCCAGTAAGCAGCTTGTCTTTTTTGGTTTTTAAGTATTTACTTGACTGTAAAGCTATTTTGGTTTGCCCAAAACTGCAGGAATTATGGGCAAATTTCTACCACTTCTTATGATTTCCCAAACAAAACAAAGAGTTTATTAAAAGATAACTGTTGGTGTAAAACAGAATCTCTTACTAATTAAGCACCAACTAGTTAATATCTAACTACTACAGAGGTTAAATAAAGGTCCAGTACAATCTAAATAAAGAGGTCATCTGTTCATAGTAAAAAAAGAGTTCTCACTGGTCTCAAGAAACCATCTGTGTTATTTTCCATTGAAATCAAATTAAAAGCAACCCTGATATGGCAACTTGTGCCTGAATGCAAACTATTTTGGAAGAATTTGTGACAAATCCCAGATGCTTTTTTCCCTTCTTTTAACAAAAAACTTTAATATTTTGATAGAATGATGGTCTTAACTCATTGTGCAGTTACAGTGACATGTCACGAGAGCAAATGAAAATGTAAGATTCTCTACCCTAAAATATACTCTCTGCCCAGTGACAGCACAATGCGATGCATCACTTAGGGGTAAAGAAAAAGAGAGAAAATCTTAGCTGGGAATCTAGTTGTGTCCACTTCCCTTGGCAAAAGCAACTCTGTTCAGTGAGAAGGGGACAGTAAATTTAGCCAAAAAGGGAATGAAGACTTTTGCATTGCTTCCTAGAAGCCGCTCCTGTCAGTTTAAGAGCAAAGCTCACTATCTCTATAGGGAACACCAAGTATCCTTCTTTGGCTTCATGCATGGTGAGAGACGGGGAACAAAAGTGGGAATGCTGCACAGACCATCCCTAGAATCAAAAAATAATTTCAGAAGGTAGAAGTGAAACTAGAGAAACCAGAAAAACCAACCCCATTAGAGATGACCATTTTACTGTTAAAACCACACACATCAAATGGATTCTCTTGCTTTTTCTTTTATCTGCATCTTTAGTAATCATTATTATCATTATGATGATGATTATTATTCAGCGTTATCTTAAAGAAAGGTGTTTCAGACATTTTATAGTAGTTCACAAACAAGTTGGGGAATATGCTGTTTGTACATCTGCATTTCCAGAAAGCAAGCTACAAATCAAACAAGATAGCATTATCGAAGAGAAGATAAGTTAAATTAAGTTACAAGCTGAAAGGGACACTTTCAGATCAAAAATTATAGCTGAATCCTGTCCCTATTAAAATTAATGGTAAAACTCCCAATGGCTTCGAAAGCACTTAGGCAGAAGGGGTGAAAACTGTGTCACAAAATATTTGAGATCCTAAAAATTTGGCAAGACTCAATGAAAGGCTGTATATTTATTTGGATAAGAATGAACCCTGGATATTCTAAGTTAACACTAATATTTTTGTAAAATAATGTTAAATATTAAAGTCCATCAACTGTGCTCTAGGTTTTAAATTGATCTCTATTAGGAATTAGGGGACACCTATTTTGGAGGAAAAGTTATACCATATTTGCCTACTATAAGGTTTCTTGCACCTGTCTTATGAGGCATTTGGTCCCAGCCATTCATGCTCACTAGATTAAAAAGACCAATCTTTGGATCCAGTGCATCACTGCATGCACCTCCTATGTAAGTGTGGAAGATACTTTAAAAAACCAATTTAACATTTCGTCATTTATTCTACTTGTTCAATTTTCACATTTTTCATTGTCTAAGTTGAGAGAAAGGCTAGCCAAGTTCACTCTCAGTTATAGTCAAGGTCCTATACTTTCTAAAGCAAATACATGGATTCTAATCTTCCAACAAGATTTCTCATCTCTGGTGATGACATGGTACTATATTAGACCATTTTAAAATGTAAAAGAATATAAAACAAAACAAGTAAATATAAAACAACCTCCTGCATCATATCTAGTCCTCAGCTGTTACAGGCTACCACATCAAATTCAACCCTTCATAAATGTTTCAGCTCCAATTATGTAGCTGAGATAAAGTTAGACTAGGCTTCGAGATGACCCGATGAAGAATGTCTTCCATTTGAAAGCTTGTCTAACTCTATACCAACTAC